GCAGCCAACAACAAGGACAACAACCACAAAGACAACCACAACAACAGCCGCCGCGAGACCTTCGACATGGGCAACGTAGCCGAGGCCATCGAGGAGGTGTCGGCCAGTGTTGCTGCCTCTAAAGAGGAAGAGGAGGAGGAAAAGTCTTCGGACAAGGAAAACCACAATGGTCCTCCGGCTGCTGGTAAGTGTGACATCATTTGTGGTCATCTATTTGCTCTCTAACTTCCTACTTTTTCTTCTAGCTGACGAGCTCATGTCTGAAGAGGAAGAGGAGGCGGTGAAGAAGTCCGAAGAGACGGTGGTGGAGGCCTTCCACAGCGTGGACGCCGAGAAGGAGCTCTCTGAAGAGGCGGCCGCGGCTTCAGCGGCTCCTTCGCTGGCCGACGACTCTTCTGCGCTGAACAGCAGCCGTCGCTCCTCGTACATCGTCAAGAGTCCGAGCATTCGGGTGGTGCACTTTGCCGATGAGTCGGTGCGCAACAGCAGCAATGGCGGCGGACTGGAGGCACTCGTCGAGGACTCAAATGAGCCGCAGCAGCAGCAGACCACTCCGGTGGCCCATAACGAGGGCACCAGCAAGTCCTCGCTGAAGATCAAGGCTCGGCAGCTGACGCCCATGGTGGTCAAGGAGGAGAAGGGAAAGAAGGTGACTGCCGGCAACATTGTCTCAAAGACCGCCACCACCACAAAGGCCAGCACAGGCAGCAACAAGAACCCGCTGAGCATTCAGGGCCTGCTTCGCAACCGACTCTCCAAGAAGTACATCAAGCGCTTCTCAAAGTCCATGGAGGAGGAGAAGGCCAAGGAGGAGGAGGAGGCGAAGAAGAAGAAGGATGAGGAGAAGGGTCAGGGCCCAAGCTCTTCTGCTCCAGGAGCCGCAGCCCCAGCTGCCAAGCCCAAGAGCACCGTCATTGGGCTGACGAAGAAGCGCGTCACCATTGCCGCCGTGCCCGCAAAGAGTGCTACTACCACCACGACCACTTCGGCTCGAACTTCCACCACCACCGCCACCACCAGCGGCAAACGAGGCCTCAGCCTGAAGGGCAGCACCAGCGCCGGCCGTCGCTTCACCACCGCCGCCTCGATGCTGCTGNGCAAGAACCCGCTGAGCATTCAGGGCCTGCTGCGCAACCGACTCTCCAAGAAGTACATCAAGCGCTTCTCAAAGTCCATGGAGGAGGAGAAGGAGAAGGAGGAGGAGGCAAAGAAGAAGAAGGATGAGGAGAAGGGTCATGGCCCTAGCTCTTCTGCCCCAGCAGCCCCAGCTGCCAAGCCCAAGAGCACGGTCATTGGGCTGACGAAGAAGCGCGTCACCA